GTGGAAGCGCAGGGGAGAGATCAAAACAAAACAACGGTCACTAATTAGAAGTACAAAACGAGGATTTGTAAAGAAGAATGTCAGAGGATTTCGATATAAGCCAAGAGGAGACTGGTTTTCCTTTGCTAAAGTAAGGAAACTTTGCTTCCTTTGCTCCTGTTAACAAACGTTGGTTTTCACGAGACTCACTGGCGCATGTGCAGCACTGACCTCATACGTCATCCGCCCGGAACTGCTTCCAGTGTACAACAGTGAGAGCAAGCTAGATTCAAGTGATTATTACGTTTTGAATATGGATATTTTTCTTACAAAAACGCATCGATTCGCTACAGAAGGCCTTTGTTCACCCCCCGGAGCCGTGTGAGACCTTTTTTACGGATGGGCGCTTTTTATTTAACTTCTTTTGGACTGATGCATGCAACACCCGCTGAGTGGCATGAAACAGCTTGAAAGATCAAAGACCATTTTTAATATAACTCCGACTGGATTCGTCTGAAAGAAGAAAGTCATATACACCTAGGATGACTTGAAGGTGAGTAATTTATGGGCTAATTTTCATTTTTGGGTGAACTAACCCTTTAAAACAAAAAAAAACATTTGAAATGTTTTACTTTACATGTAATGAATCTAGAATATATGAAACTTTCACTTTTTGAAATAAGTTACAAAAAAAATTAACTTTTTCACAATATTCTAATTTTTTGAGATGCACCTGTATAATATGTTTGATTTTCTGATTACAGACATCTAACTATTTTGGAATGAGCTGTTGTTGCAGGATAGTTTGTTTTTAGGCTGAGGAGGAAGTTTTTATTTATGATGTTTAAATAGTTTGTTTAACTATTTTATTTCAAATTATCATAGAATATAACCCTGATTTATCCTGGAATATTCCTTTATGTTTTTACTGTCTTAACCAGTATATTTCACCATTTTCAGACACCTCACATCCATAATCTCTAGTGTCTGCTTATGTCACCTCGGTAAACCTCAGTCCTCCATTACACTGTGATATGGCCTTCATATTGAGCTGATGAAAGAAGACAGATACAATGCAATGACATACCCCAACATCACAACTGGAAAATGAATAACTAATTCTCATACAATATCCATGTTGTTTACATATCAAACACAATGAAAAGTCAATGGTTCTGCAAAGTTATAATGATAAACTGGAAGACAACAGAATTATTAACAACAGTATAGTTTTAATCCATACTAGTTATGGATTCAAATGTTTTAAGATAAAGATCTTTGCATCGTGCATTTTCAGACCCGGAGGTGCTTGAAGAACCAGCTTTAATGTTTAGCAGGAGATGAAAATAGATCTGGATGTTTTGTTTGACAAATGATTGATTAAAAAAACATTGTAGATGAAAATACTGAACATAGTACTAAAAATACTAGACTATACTAGAATATTCTAGTTAATCACTTACAGTATATACAATTAAATTAAAAACTGAAATTATGACAGTCTTGGATTCAGAGCAGCGATGTTGAATGGAATTTAAAGTTCTTGTCCAAGTTTTCGCAGCTCCAACTGTAACTTTGTTTTTTCTAATTCTAGTTTTTGTACCTCTAGTTTTATTTTCCTTGTTTCGGCCTACTATTTGTTTCTTATTTTCTCATTAAAAATCCTGCTCATAGATCCTAGCCTCTGCTCTGTTTTTCCCAGCTTCTCCTCAACATTACACAACAACTCACCTTTAGGATCTAGCAGGTATGCAGCTTCTCCTCCTGCACCAGGGTGAGCGTTCCCTTGAGGACCACACCCGTGAGTTTTCGGACTTGGCATACCACACTCACTTTCCGCACAGTTCACCCCTTACCTTCTTCCGTACTGGATTCAATGAAACATTTAAAATCACAACTACTCTGTTATGGTCCTCAAAGGACCTTCTGTGAGTTGGAGCTCACTCTCCAACTCAGCGGATCCTCCTTCACTGTGGGGGAGGTGGAGCAGGATCCAACATGGCTACTCCAGAACCTCCTAAACATTTTTTAGAGGGAGCTATGCTCCTCAAGCTCAAGCTCTTCTGCTCTGCCTGTGCCGCTGTGGTAATCTCCAGCTCTGCCTTTGCCACCGTGGAGGTCTTCTGCTCTGCCTACTCCGCCATGGCTGCCTGATCTGGCGGCTCCGCCCTGGTCTTCAGCTCCACCCAGGTCACCTGATCCACCGACTCTGTCCTGGTTTTCATCTTCACCCAGGTCACCTGATCCACCGACTCCGTCCTGGTTTTCATCTTCACCCAGGTCACCTGATCCACCGACTCCGTCCTGGTTTTCATCTTCACCCAGGTCACCTGATCCACCGACTCCGTCCTGGTTTTCATCTTCACCCAGGTCACCTGATCCACCGACTCCGCCCTGGTTTTCATCTTCACCCAGGTCACCTGATCTGCCGGCTCCACCCTGGTCTTCAGTTTCCGCCCAGGCCAGCTGATCTGCCAGCTCCGTCCTGGTCATCAAATTCGCCAGCTCCTCCCTGGCCACTGTGAGATTAGGAGAGAGCTCTGTTTGCTGTGAAATGCACACAACTTGTTTGGATCTTCTTAACCAATAATTTTCACCATTGCCAGACACCACACAAACATAATATCTAGTGTCTGCTTGTGTCACCTCAGTAAACCTCAGTCCTCCATTACACAGTGATATGGCCTTCATATAGATGTTGTTTACAAGTTAATGTTGCTGAAATGTTACGAATTCTACTAATAAGAACAATATAAAACGCACTAAGGATTAATGAGCTGCTGGATTCATGAATATTAATCAGGTTGTGTGCATTCGCTCGAATTGATTTGCTGAAATCTAAACAGGGACAATAATAGGGGAGCGCCAGCCAATGAGATTGTCATTTGCGCATTAGTTCCCGGTAGTTCTTAAAAGCTGAAGAGTTATTTTGACAGGAAAATACAACAAAGAATATCGTTTACATGTAGCGCGTCAATTGTGCGTGCTATGTAAAGACTCTCTCGCTCTGTCTTTCTTTGTGTGTGTGAGACAAAGCGACCGCGAGTCATGCGCCTTCACACTAGAGTTTACGGTACGTCAAATACAGGTGCGCTGCGCATCCTTTGAGATGAGTTGAAAAAAAAATAGCGCTTTACAAAGAGTGAAACTCTGAAGCGCTCGGTTAGTGTGTTCGGCGAGTGAAAATATATCTGTGCTAAACTTATACTTACCCTCCAACTCACACAGTAAAATCTGAGAATTTATTAGCCAATGGCTAATCTTAGACATCATTTAGTCACCCAGAGTGAAGATTTAGTCGCATATGAGAGTGATTTACTCGCAATGTAGAGGGTTGTGTTATGTCTGACAAATGGGTGTAAAAAAAAAAATATATATATATATATATATATATATATATATATATATATATATATATATATATATATATATATATATATATATATATATATATATATATATATATATATATATATATATATATATATATATATATATACACACACACACATATAGTGGAAAATATTGAACATGGCACTAATAAATGCTAGATCATTCTAGTTAATCAATTTAATTGATTAGCAAAATTAAAAACATCTGAAGTCATGACATTAAATAAAGTCCTGGATTCAGAGCAGCAATGTTGAATGGTATTTAAGGTTCTTGTCCAAGTTTTTGCAGCTCCAACTTTAACTTGGTTATTTCTAATTCAAGCGTTTGTATCTCTAGTTTTAGTTTCATCTCTTGCAACATGAATACACCATACTGTTTTTCCAGCATGTGGTTCATGGTGATCTTGCTTGGGACATTCTGGGTCTCCGTGCTCAAGCTGCCCCTCACAGCTGGTGCTTGGCTGTTGTCCTCATCACCTATATAACAAAAACAAAGTTAGCTCAAAAGTAGCTAGAAAAACTAGCAGAAAACAACACTACTCACAAGAAGAGCTGTGATAATGGCAATAGGAAGTGATGTTTCTTCTTTTGTTTCAGGCAATGGACTGGCCTGCTCTCACTGACTCCAAGGAATCCCCAAAATACTCCGCATACACTTCTATAACTTTCTGTTGTCCTTTTTTATGTATAATGTTCGGTTGTCCTCCAGTTGCTGTATTATTTCTTTTAAATATCTCTTTCTTTACTTCCTGCACCATGTTTAGAAAATGATTTTAAACATTTTTAACAATTTGTTAATTTAAAAAAAAAAAGATTTGATGGCCTTATATTCTTCTAAAAATGCAACTGTACTTAGGTTAATGGCTATGTTTGTGCAACCAGCCTGCCCCATATATGCTAAGGATTTATATTTTTTGCTTGCATTATATTAAAAAAAAATGAGGAGGTGGTAGATCTGATCAAATGTGAGATTAAAGTACAATGGAAGTATACTGTAGTTATCTAAAGTCCTGTCGTGCAGTGACAACTGAAGTGAACTGAGTAGTATGATTTGAAAAGTTATTATTATTATTAAGTTATGTTATTATTTATTATATATATTGTTGTTGATAATATATTGAGAGCACATTCTCTGGTGACTCTGGAAGTCCTATAACTGCCACTTAGTGTGTAAATGTGCATTTATTATTTGAAAGCAATGACAATGTTACTTACGGACTTCCATTAGCACTGCATCGCCACGCTGAGGAGTGCCTTCTCCATTACTGGCCTCACAGAAATATGAACCAGTATCCAGTTTAGACACATTTGGGAACTCCTGATAACACAAAGAATCCAGTTTTACAAATATAATTTATCTTTCAATACAATGAGGAGGCATATACAAAAAAATGATATACTAATTAGCCACAGTGTTGTTTCTAATGCTAAAATATAATTGTGGATATCTATGAATTTTCGAATTTACTGTTTTACAAGAAAGGCAGAAAAAATAGTTAAGCACTTTATAATTTGTTTTATTCAGATGCACAATTACAGTCAATAACAACAGAAACTGTGGAAAAGTGCATAAAAACTAAGCCAGCAAGAATGCAAGCTGTTATCAAGGCCATAGTTTTTTGGTTATTATGTGTGAATAAAGACTATTTAGTTGTTTCAGTTTGTTATTTGCCTAATAAATGACAGTAAAAAGATTTTTTTTTAAATTGTCAGTTTTTGACAGATTGCTAAATTATTTGTTTTTTCTTTTTATGACAGGTGGTCTAATAAATTTGTTAAGCACATATAGTGCTTAAATCTACTAGACTGTATTTATTGACTGTAATTGGGCATGTGAATAAAACAATTAAATGGTTTGCTATTTTTCTACCTTTCTTGTAAAACAGTACATATGAAAATTCATGGATAACAACAATAATTATATTTTAGCATTAGAAACACTACTGTGGATTAACCATTACAGAAACATAAAAAATGATTTTGGTAATCGACAATACTGTTAGTTTAGGGTAGTTGTGGCACAAACTTTAAATCGGGTGGTGGTGGTCTATTAAATCTGTTAAGCACTGTATATATATGTATGTATGTATTTTCTAATATTGTAGATAAACACTCACCAGGTTACCATTGAAAACGTTCATCTTGTAGGTGAGGTTCTTAAAATTGGGGAACTTGGTTGGATCCTCAGGGAGGGGAGTGTTGTCCTTGTACCACCTGTAGGTGGATGGAGGGGAGCCATCTGTGTCGAAGCAGGTCAGGCGGGCGTTACTGCCTGTTGTGACTGATGAAGGGATTCTGGATACAGGCTTGGAAGGAGGCACTGTAGTGGAGGGAATTACAGTGGGGATGACAAGACTGTTTTGTGTATTACATTATTTCATCAAAGCAATAATCTTTGCAAAATGACTTTTTTACTATTCAGATTTACCAAGGACCGTAAGTTTGATGGTCTTCTCGTCATATCCACCATTGCCAGAAACCTCACAGTCATAGTCTCCATTGTCTGCTCGCGTCACCTTGTTAAATCTCAGTCCTCCATCATACACAGTGATACGGCCTTCATATTCAGCTACAAAAAGAAAAAAGATGCATAATGCAATATCTTTTTTTTATGTTCATTACAATAAGACCCGTCAACACACAATAAGGAAATGCTACTGCCAGGTTACAATGATGACACTGGATGACAATAATAAAGTCTTATACCAGTCATCATTCCAGCAAAGTAGATGAAAAACTGATAGCCCTTGAGATCCTTGAACTTCCATTCTATTCTGGGTGTTGCTCCAAAGTCAGCAGTGTAGGCACTCTGATCTGGATACAGACTGGATCTGGTGGCAACGGTGACCTCGGAATAAGAGAGAAACAGACTAATATTAGCAAGTCAACTCCTGAAAACAAGTAATACTTTGTGCATAAATGTTTTTCACATCAAAAACTGAATCCTTGAATCAACCCAAACAGCTATTCTCTATAGTGCAAAACCAATACAGACACATCAGATTTTCTCCATTATTTTTATTTATCTGATTACTGCTACACATAAACAATTAGGCTGTAACTGAACGGCAAGTATAAACCAAAAAAAAAGAAAATGAAACTTACCCTCATTCTCTTTGACTTTTACTGAGGGATTACCAACAGTAACCATAAAAGTGGCATGCAGGCCTGTAGACAGAAAGAGAGCTTTTCAAGCCTTAATTTCATCAGTAAGAAAGATTTCTTTGTCTAAGAAAGAACTATCTTCATCTAGGCCAGCCACTTATTTTTCTATTTAATAGAAGCATCAGGACAAGAAGAATCTTACAAAAGCAAGTAGTAGTATTAAACAAGAAGTATTTCAACACTTAAGTAAACATATTACTCTTCAACAGTGTTGAAACAGTATTTAATCTACTAATTTCTTCTGAATACTTAATGCACACTTTTGCCAGGTGTTCAAAGGCAAAAATCGCTGTCGAATTTACTATGTAATTAGGCAACATTTGTGAACAGGGCAAAGTAATAATGTTACGTTTTCGGTTATTGTAGACTTATATCATCCAAATACTATACGCATTAGTAAATTATTATTAATTAAATAAAAAAAGAGAAAAACACTGATGGAAACTGACAGTATCAAAACAAAAAAAAAAACGTTTAGGCTGAATAATTCACTGCAGACAAAAGATAGCAGTCAATGATACGACGTGTTTTATATATATATATATCGTGCAAACAAATACTGAAAACATGGATTAGGCCTAATTTACCTGTAACTGAGATAGAGAGGCAAAGACGAAAGTCAACATATCCACTCTGAAATTATACAAAGTCTTCCAGAATATTTATCTTATTAAAAATTATAACTGGTTTTAAATTATTTTAGCAGAACTTTATTGCAGTTGTTAATTTGTTAGGCCACTACAAAACTAGATAAACTGAAAGGCTAATAGGTTACTGTGTTACCTGTACCCCGTGTGTGATTGGCTGGAAACGCGACGCTATGACGTTCCCGCTGCTTGACGCAATGAAAGTAAACAGATTCGAGGCTAGACAAATAATTGGAAATCGTTCTCAGAATGAACCCTGTTTAGGAGTCCAGACTGTTCTATATATGTCTTTGTACTCTAAATATACTGTACTTAGTAAGTTACGCACATGATAAGACGTACAGGCAAGGGTGTAACTTTGGTTTGAGAAGTGGGGGGGACACAAAATGGGGGAAAATTTTTCAGATGTATTTCCAAGAAAAAACATCGTCTTATATTCGGGTCAATACGGTATGTTAATTCTGAGAAATTACTGTCATCAAATTTTATGAATATACATGTTTAGATTAAAATTCAAATTCAGTTTGAATTAAATATATATATATATATATATATATATTAATTATATAAAATATATTGAATATGTGCTGAATAAAGCACATATAATATATAAAATAAATATTGAATAAAAAAAACTACATAAATAGTAAGAAAACAATATTTAAAAAAAAAATTAGCAATATAAGCTTTCTAGATAAAAAATAAAATTAGTAGTGTCATTTTGACCCGAGAGGGAAGGATCTGTTACAGGAGCAGAGGATGAGGGTTAATAGTTGTGAAATCATTTAATAATCAAAAACTAAGACTTATTATATTTTGAGAAGAAGTTGTGGACCCAGACATCCATTTGTGTAAAATGTGATTCGAGCATGCGGTTAGAATGTTGACTAGTGCATAAAAGCAAAAGAAAAGTGTATGGTATTTTTGTTATGATTCTTCATTTTACTATTCCCCTTCAGCAACAGATACTGTAAATATAAGCTAAACATTTTTAATGTTATAAATATATTTGAGTATATACACATAAAATATACTGTATCACTTTTAAGACAAATTTCATAATAAAATGCAACTTGAACATTATTGCAGACCACATACACCCCTTTATGACAGTGATGTTCCCTAGTGGCGGTGGCCATGCTGCAAAAATTGTTCAAGAATGGTTTGAGTAACATGACAGAGAGTTCAAGGTGTTGCCTTGGCCTCCAAATCTGAGAATGCATGATGTGCTGGACCAAAAAAAATCTTGTCCCATCTCACAACTTGCAAGACTTATAGGACCTGCTGCTAAAATCTTTGTGCCAGATACCACACGTTCAAAGGTTTTGGCACCACAAGAAGGACCTTCATGATTTTAGGCAGGTTGTTTTAATCATGTGGCTGATCAGTGTATGTAGGCCTACAAGGATTTAAAATGTGTATGTTATAATGTAGATTGAAAAAGTATGCCATTAACTTCCAAATGGCTTTATTTTACTTGCATTATTGAAAATAATTTTTCATTTATGCATGAATTTACATGCATACATACGATACTTTGTATGTGATGTATTACATTATTAAGCACATACACCAAGAGAACAATGTCCAGCCTGCAATTTTTTGTGTCTTCACCAGAAGCTTGTTTGTTCCAGCCAACCTTTTCACTCTCTTGTTAATAATAGTATATGAGAATCTGCTGTACCAACAGATAAAATCTGAGGCTCAAACTAGTACAACTGCTTTATTAGTAATTATTAATAATTTGTAATTGTTTGTTTTTGATATACAGTATTTAAATCCTGATCCAGTTTCACCAAAGCTGTGCACTTGTGCTTGTTTACCAAACATTTGAGTTAAATAAATCAACAAATCTACCAGTGTTTACCTTTAAAACGTCATCAAACTTGAGTTATGAATCTTTACATGAAGTTCAATAAAAATTTGATCAAGCAATATTATGTAAAGACATTGTGTAAATTTACTGGGATGTGTACATTTCATAACTGCAATATAAATGACCAAACTTTTAAAGCTGGTGTTTTGGCCTAAGTTGATTGTCAAGGCATTGCGTAAGAAATAGTTTCAACAACAACTTTAACTGAATAGACATAAAACAATAAAATTTTGCTTAAAGAACAAAATGAAGGTCACCAAAATGTAAACACATTTCAATGCTGAAAAAAAAAAAACATCTGAAACACCATCAGTGTAATCATTCAAAGTATGATCATTCTTTAGACACAGATCTACAAATATACAGATCTGACAATTATACATAATTTCAGTGCAGTTAAAATACCAGACCACTCTGGAAATAATCTGAAACAATCAAAGGCTGCGTGTGAAGTGAACAGTGAAGGAGACAAAGAGAAAAGTGTGATTGTCCACGGTAAGAATTACTACTTACATGTCATTTCAAACATGAATAAACAGAATTAATGACAAGACCAGAGCAGGAGAAGCGTATAGTTGATCTGCGGTTCTTCACTGAGAGTCCATTGATGCTGCCACTATGCCGTGCTGTCTTAACTGGGCTCTGATCATCTGATTCTTTGATTTCCACTCTTCCATCTGTGTGTAGGTGGAGACAAGGCATAAGAGAGACTGTATGAGAAAATGAATCAGTTTTGTCCGTTTTCTTTAAAACAATCCCACCAACATAAAAAAAGTGCAGAACTGCTATGTGTTTGACTTCAGAAGTGCTATTAGCAGCAGTAGTTGTTGTGGTTATAGTGGAAGCTAGTAGTCATCCTGTACTGTTCATTAAAGGAACACTCCACTATTTTTGAAAATTAACTCTAGGGAAGTTGGAAAATGAGCCTAAGAGTTGAGTTTTACCGTTTTCGAATCCATTCAGCCGATCTCCGGGTCTGGCGGTAGCACTTTTAGCTTAGCTTAGCATAGATCATTGAATCTGATTAGACCGTTAGCATCTCGCTCAAATGACCAAAGAGTTTCTATATTTTTCCTATTTAAAACTTGACTCTTCTGTAGTTACATCATGTACTAAGACCGACGGAAAATGAAAAGTTGCGATTTTCTAGGCCGTTATCGAACTACTCTCAATACTCTCATTCCGGTGTAATAATCAAGGAACTTTGCTGCCGTACCATGGGTGCAGCATGCACAATGATATTATGCAGCGCCTGAAAATAGTCCCAGCTAGGTAACTTCCAATAAGCCTATTTTCAGGCACTGCGTAATATCATTGATTATTACACCGGAATGAGAGTATGGTTCCTAGTCATATCGGCCTAGAAAATCGCAGTTTTTCATTTTCCGTCGGTCTTAGTACACGATGTAACTACAGAAGAGTCAAGTTTTAAATAGGAAAAATATAGAAACTCTTTGGTCATTTTTGAGCGAGATGCTAACGGTCTAATCAGATTCAATGATCTATGCTAAGCTAAGCTAAAAGTGCTACCGCCAGACCCGGAGATCGGCTGAATGGATTCGAAAACGGTAAAACTCAACTGTTTAATTCTAGGGGAGTTGGAAAATGAGCCTATTTTAAAAAATAGTGGAGTGTTCCTTTAAAGTATTTGATTCTGAAAATATGCTTACAATATCAGTTTTAATAAATGAATAACTAAAATGTTCAGAACGCTCTATCATTTGAAGTGGTAAGTTACCTCTTGTTTGAGAAGCTGATTGTCCATCCTCAGTCTATCCACAGTATTAAGTTCCTCCTCCAGTCTTGCATTGCTCTGACGCAGCTCTTGGATATAGTCACATGCCTTGGACAAGATCCCACCTTTACTCTACACAGAAGAGCAGAAGACAATCTGAGACATTTCAAAGTTTCATTTAGTTGAACTAAAAATTTGTACAAATACAAAAAGTAAAACTCAAAAATTGGAACTATAAAGACATAAAATCTAAAAAAACGAATAAGTTTTAAACTAAAAATTTTAAACAAAAACTAAAAAAATTAAATTAAATTTAAAAAAATCTAAATAAAAAATTTCAAAATATTAAAGAAAATGTATACCATCCTCGTTATTCTACAATAACACTGTACATTATACCTTTGAATAAAACGTTCACTGCTGGTGGCTTGTGCTAACTAAGCTTACTTGACCATTTTTGGTTGCATCCACATTGCAGTCAGGAATTGTTTTGGAAAGCTGGACAATCCAGTTGTTGATCTTGTCCCTCCGTCTGCGTTCCACTGAGGGGACAAAATGCTTACATTCAGACAGAACTCCACGACACGTTTAAAGATAAATCTTTTGCAGTCTAATATGAAATAGAGCAGCAGGGATTGGATAATGAGGTGGAGCTCCCGATTTCAAACAAGACACAGAATAACCTTCATTGTGTTGAGCCCTCCGCTTGTCACCTCTGGAAGCACGCGGTGTTCCCGACTTACTGTGAAGAACATAGGATTCGTTGAAGACGTTGAGAAGAAACAGAATACTGTGATAGGACAGGTGGTTTTATGTATGTGATATGAGAGAACAACCTCTGCTGTGTTGTGGCTAGAACTTCCTGAGGTGACATCATTACATAGAGTTGACCTGAAAGAAAATGAAGTCAGGCAACTGAATCTAAAAATGATAAACTGTTGATATAATTGCATCATTAGACATAAAATATAATTAAAAGCATGTAACTTTCACTTTTTAGCTGTATATAATAATGCTACCTTTTGCAAGGGAACTACTTTCATAGAAAAATCCATCACTTTTCTGCAACAAACTATCAGAATAACTAGAAACCACATCATGTACACTAACATTTTGTGTTGGTAAGATTGTTTTAATGAAAGAAGGCAAAGGCTCACAAAGGCATTTATTTAAATGAAATATAATTCAAACAGTAAATATGTGAAATACTACTACTATTTAAAATAACTTTTCAATTTAAATATGTTTTTTAATGTAATTCATTTCTGTGATGGGAAAGCTGAATTTTCAGCAACCATTACTCCAGTCTTCAGTGTCACACGATTCTTCAGAAATCATTCTAATATACTGATTTGGCTTCCAAGCAACATTTCTTATTATTCTCAATGTTAAAAACAGTTATGCCACCTAATATTGAAACCATGACATTTTTTTCCAGGATTCTATAGAAAGTTCAGAAGAATGACCTTTATTTGAAAGAAATGTCTGAACATTTTGTAACATAATAAACGTCTTTACTGTCACCGTAGATCAAATATAATGTGTCCTTTCTAAGCTTTAGAATTTGAATGATTTTGTAAATGTAGTTTGGCATTACCTGCAGAGGTTGGTTGAGACAGTACCGAATCAGCTGTGTGGAGATTGGTGACCATGGTGCTGGCAGTTGTGTCAGAGATGGTGGCAGGATAGTAGTATTGAGTCTCAGACGTCTCTCCCTCTAGACTCTCACACTGCGAGATCACAGCCTATAAATACATGCACACAAGCACCTACTAGCACAACCACCTCTTTGATATAAAAAGGTTTCAGCAACAAGCTCAAATTTCTATTGCTGTTAAAAACAACTAATACCTGGGTTACAGGTGGTGTGGCTGCCTGAGTTACTGTGGGAAACCCAGTCACCACACTGACTGCTGCAGCCCCATCTGCCTGTCCTTCTACCTGCCCGTCAGCCAAGTGGATCACCCGGTATGTCACCTGAACCATGGAGGTCAAGGGTTTAATCATCACATCCCATGATCTGTATTTACCATGCATACATGGGCCACATACCTGCCCCCCTGTTCCTTCCGTTTTTACAAGATGATACTTAATTTGCTGATCTGTGGAGAATGCGGCAGCTGACTGGATGGCTGTGATAGCCAGTGGGTCATCTGCTGTTTCAGCAACACCTGGTAAAGCAACATGAAGTTTTTGTGAAGTAGAGAGGTCAGGTATTTGATCAGCAACAATCTCACTGATGTTGAATGTAGTCGTTTTCCCGGGCATGTCCTGGATGGGATTTCTAAATTGCCTAAAATGTCAGGGTTTTGGCTTTTTTTCCCTATTGCAATGCTCTCTCAGTCCTCATACATTATGTGCATTTGCATTGCTTTGACTATTCGTTGAAGATCCCACCCTTCTCGCATGCCACGATTGGTCGATTATGTGCAATGCCTGCATGGTATTGGACTTTTCAGTCATAACCTTTAGCAAGTATGAAAACATTAGGAAAACAAAGCCAAAACCCATGCTTTTTAGGCAATTTAGAAAAGAGGACGTATGGTCACCCTAATGAATCTACTGATGGGTTTTTTCTTGCTTGAGAGAATGTAAAGTTTGTATCTTCATGTGCAGGTACATGTACGGTATATACTTTGTTTAGCACTAGATGGTGCTAAACAGGCGGTAAGCTGTCACAACAAAACTGAAACTAAAGACTGACCGTCACCCAAGCATTTTTATGTTGTGCATTTCCCTAAACACACTACCACCCAGAATGACAAAGGGACTTATGGACAGTTCAATTTGAGCATCTCACCGTCTTGCAGTATGGGAGAATCTTCAGGATCAGGACTATTGTGGTTTCTAAAAAGGAAATAAAAATGTACGTTATATAGAATTATTAAGGAATGTAAATTATAATGCTAGATAACTATATCTAAGTATTAGGACATGTTTATATTACAATATAGTACAGCATAAGTGTTTAAAATAAACATTACAATTGTATAATATTTACATTGACGTCTTGATTTTTTAGAGGATATAAAATCTCTCCAGATAACATTGTAGAAGTGCAGATTTCAACGGTATGATGAGCATAAGGTGTGGCTTAAGTATAACGTTAATACTGAAGGTGAAACTTACTTCATATTTTTAAGCAAATTGGGGTCAAGGCTTCGAGGTCCTCAAACGTAAACATTCACTGCAAAAACAATAGCCAGTAAACAACAGGAAAGCAAATGAGCACATTTGATACCTAAACCTAGCACAACTGGACTGAGGCTACATCCTGCTCTTAAAAATGTCCAACAACTCATAGCAGGTGTGTGGCGTCGGCGACGTGTTATATATTTTTTACGCCGTTGCGTTAAAACTCCCATCACACCGATGTGTTGAGAAACAGCCCGCAAAGCTATACACAGCTCACTTTGCGAACTGATTACGTATGTTGTCCATCATTCATTTTTACTTTTAACTGTGATATTACTTATACCGCCAACATTAGTATTACTTAGACTAACTCGGCAAGAAGCAAAACAAGAACCGATTTAGCATTTGAGCTAACGTTAAGCAAAAAACAAATGCGTGAAAACCATCCCGTTTAAAAGTTTGTATGTATAACTAATAATAATGCATATTAGTTTACCCCCCAAAAAGCATTCCCTGGTTACATTTAATAGAGAGTTACCCGTTTGTCGTTAGCAGCAAACGTTGAAAGAACCGGTTCGCGGAAAAGAACCGGACTTCCCATCACTAGTTCAGACGACATATCCTTTTACTGCGCATGTGCAAGTTTTTCTAGATTTTAATGTTAGTCACTAGATGGCGCCATACACAGCGTCATCATTTTACTTGTACTGAAAGAAGTTTATTAGGACAATGTTTGTAAGGCGCTGCAACAAATAAACATGACATCTTTCATAACACCAACACATAATCCCAATCCGAATACAACCTTTATTTCATTTTAGAATTCATGCTTAAAACAATGTCAAACAGTGAGTTCACTTTATAAAACATAATCCCACATCCAAGGTACATAATTTTACATGTTGTTATGTAAGGGACATGCATCACATGACAGTGTTTTTGACATCCACATCTTTCATAATTTCTGAGGGAGGAAACACACAGATTACTTTGTTATAGTACAAGCTAGAGGATTTATAATTTGTTTTAGGGATTGGTGTTGTACCAAGAGATACAATCTAGACTCAGAGAAGCTCTGACAACAATGGGAAAGTGAGGAAAGCTAGCAGGAGCGCTGCTCCACTGTGTTGCATGACACACCAGGCAGAACAAGTCTGAAGCTTACCTGGAAAAAAAGAAGAAAAAAAAAACAGAGCAGCCTTATCAACATCTGTCAGTCACGGATTAATTACAATAAAAGTCATAAGTAAATTAATTTTTTTTTAAAAATGCACAAAAACAACTAAAGTATGCTTCCTTGACAATTCCAAGCAATTAAGTTGCCAATTAAAATGTACTTGTGCAGCTGCAAAATCTACTTGGTCAATAAATATACAATGTATTTAAGGGAAAAGCAAGATGTAGCCTAATAAATGTTAAATGCTAATAAATGTTAAAGTTTTGTTACTTACTCTTGTCCACGACTGCAGAGACTGACATTGGTGTGGCAGTTTGTTTGATGAAACAGGTGTAGTTTTTGGGTTTGTCATCCGAGAAACCTTTCAAATTCAGCTTACACACGTTTTCCGCTATAGAGACAGTGGCACGGTTTTTGAAGGTGCTGTCTGGGATGGTGCTCATGTTGGTAGAGCCAACCAACTTATTCTCCGTCATGTAGTAGCAAGTCTTCTGGAGCTTGGGGTCTGAAGCTGGAGTGAACTTGCAGTACATGTCCAGGTTTTGGTCCTTAGTCAAACAGGATGAAAGCTGAAGGGAAGTCTGGGCAGAAGCAACACCTACAAAATAATAACGCCAACTTAGCCTTAAGTTAGAGTCATTTAAAACTGGTATAATACTTGTATGGCATAATATGCAGTAGATTAGACGGTGATATTTGTCCGGTGCATTTTCATAGGATAACATTGTTAGTACATCATACTGAAATACATGACTTGTGTAACTGGTGAAGTAAAAAAAAAAAAAAAAAAAAAGCAAGAAAAAAAGAGGAACAATTAAATGTTTTTTCTTTTCTTTTCTATGAGCATGTGGTGAAAACTATAAGAATGTAAATTTACCCAACAGGAAAAAGGTAGCGAAGGCAGCATAGTACATCATCCTGACCACAGTATCCTGCTTATATACCTGGAGAACAAACAAGACAAGTCAGTCACTTACAACAAAATAAATTAATACCGATTACTCAGTGGTGTATACTATTCGTATCATGCCAAAAACATGAGCGTTAATGACATAAGAACGTCAAGTAAGTTTTCACCTGCATACTATTAAATTTATGCGCATGAGGTTTGAAAAAAAAAAAAAAATCTATGTATTCCTGGCAATTTTTAAAAACAATAAACAAGCTCTCTCGTATAGCCACTGCAGCAAATTTCTCAATATGGGTGGGGTCATGACATATCTGAACACATACAAATAAACAAACGTAAAATTATTGTATTATTGTAACAAATGCACACGGATACATGAACCCCACCTAAACCACACACAGCGTTCGGTCAGAAACCCCTTAGTGACTCGTAATGACTAAACTGGTAGGCTACGTGAAGAACTCCCTACAAGGCCCCGTGTGCATCTCTTTTATCTGAGGCAAGACTCGACTCGTGAAGATTCTTTTGAAACGACATGTCCCATGGGACATTCTTTGGCAAGAATTCAGCTCGAACTTCAGCAATAAATGTAGTACAAAACTTAAAATATATTTTAAAGTGGCTTTACGTCATCATTTGAAAGGATAACGTGTTTTATTTCAACTTAATTTCACTTCAACGCGCCCTGAACAGAAGTCAAGGTAGCCAGCTCATTTTTTTTAGGCTGGGTGGCGTTGTGAGTAGCCTAATGGGGACCAGACCGCTACACGCGCGAGTTGAGTTTCCACTGGCGTCTTTGATATATCGATAGGCTATATAGACTTTCTGAGTTTGTTGCGGTTCTTACCTTGTCTTCTCTGCTTTCTGATGCTGGAGCTGTTGGTCCGTTATTGAGGCAACTCCCTCAGTGATTACTCGAGGAAGACAGTGGGATGATGAGATTAAGTAAGAGGAGATTCACGCCCATAGGCTACACCACGCTGTGTCATTAGAAAAAACTTAACTACGACCTGCCCATTACCACCAGCTGAAACGTGTGTGTACAAGTTGTTGTTCCAGAAAACAACAAGAGAACGCTCGTGTAAATAATCTAGACAAAGTCAACATTGTGAAAAAAATCCATAGATACTTGCGCCACCATTTGAGGTTGCCACACCCTTTAAAGGTGCCTCAGATATTTTATTGTGCAACCAAATTCAGAAATATAGCTATATTAAGGTTTTCCTTTGAAACTGGGTTACTAAAGGAGTCTTCAGAGTTCGGGAAGAAACTTTTGGGCTCCATCTTGTAAGTTCAGAGAACTGCCCTATTTGAAAATTTCCTTTTTTAGTTTCCAGAGGGTTCTGCCAGTGTGGCGTTCTAATAAGCTGCTGCTTCAAGTAGGCTATCTGTTCATGTTTATGTAAAAACTCAATGCAGCCCAATTGAAATACAAAAGTAACGATGTTTCTTTGCGTACCAGGTACAGACAAAATGTCATTGGTCTGATACCTTATTAAAATTTAATGGTGGATCATAAGGCTTTGTTGGAGGATATGCATCCTATGAATATTTCATATACAGACAGAGAGAGAGAGAGAATTGTAATAATATTTAATATAATTTTCATGTTTGGTGTGATGTGTCTCCTTCACTGTCACTGGTGGTTACACTATTTTCAACAAAGCTGTTTTGTTATATTTATGATGATACTGTACAATGCTATACAATATTTAAATTGAATATAAAATGTTTCTTTTATATTCTACTATTGCATATGGAAAAAGGCAAATATAGCCTAGCTGTTTATTTGGGCTTCAGTACAAGAACAAATAAACCCCTATTATTTAATTTTGGAAACAATATTGGAAACATATTTTTAATATCATGCTTACTATTTTCAGGAAGGTGGTCCCTCTAAAGGGGATCATAATATTTTGGAGTCCAAAAGTTTAAAAACTCTTGGTCTAAAATGGGTTTCTGACATACAGCATCTCTGTTTCTTCAAAAATTTTGTTACATTTACATTTACATTTAGTCATTTTGCCGACGCTTTTATTTAAAGCGACTTACAATTGGGGAATACATAAAGCGATTCTTCTTAAAGAGGCAAACAGACACAGGAAGTGCTTGAAATACCAAGTTTTAGGCATTGTTCAAAAAAAGTACAAGCTAGAAAAGGGAAGGAATAAATAAAGAGAAAGAAAAAGGTTTTTTTTTTGTTTGTTTTTTAAGATGAAGTCAAGTAGTTAAATCTCTGATAAAGCTAACTAAGAATAATTGTAATAATTCATAACAAATTACAGCACTTTTACATTTTCAAATGTGTGTTGATGTAAGTAAAAAGATCTGCTCAGGTTACACTCTACATTCCTTTATTGTTTTCTGTGACATTTCTCAGTATAGATCCTTCAAAAAATAAGACGAAGCAATGGAAAGAGTGAAAGAAGGGAAGACAAAGGTTTTCCTCACAAATATAAGTGCGTGAAATGTGCGTGCTGGCGCTTGAATATATTGCTATGCAGTATTTGAGTCATTAAAATGAAACAGACAAAGCACTACATTTCTAAAGCTCAGATTATACCTTAAAGCCAACCTAAGGCACTTAAGGTTAGTGCAAGGAAGCATGTGTGAAAAGCAGCTAAACGTGTGGAAGCACACAGTGCAATTAAGCATGTGCATACAGCAGCTGCACCGTGCATGCGTGTGCAATGGAAGACACATAGAAACACATGTAAGAGTATATTTAAATACTTAATCATCATGTAACCTTAACAGACCCATTCTTATGCACTTGTGTTCTGTTCCAGGCCTGTATCATTCTTTCCCCTAAACGTAACTGAACATAAAGTCGTTGAATTGTTGTCCACAGAATATTTAGTTGCATCATGTGTGAGTGCTGCAATATAATATGTCAGCAGTGGTGATGTCCTTCAGACAGATCTGTCCTTATTCAAGTGATAAACAGAAGCGCTAAGACAAATAAACTTGTAAAATGCATTTCGCACTGGACAAATTGCAAGGATCGATAAACCAGCCATCCGATAAATGAGATTACAGATTACTCTTACAATGATTTCACTCAATTATTTCTATAAATATTACAAAAATGTCAGCAATAAAAAGTATAATATCTTTTTGAGCTACTATATGACTTGATTTGAAGGAAGCACATAATTGATACTGTATAAAGGTCCTATGCCATGTATCAAAACAATAACATATATTTCTTACAACAGAGAATATTTTAGGTGACAAATATTTGGGATGCCTGATCATCTCAAGCTTCTACATATACTTTTTTTTTGCCGTCCTTCATCTGAATTCAATGCAAATGACAAACATGCTGCGTTCAGTAATACTAATTTTACTGTAAATTCAAGAATAAATTCATTTCATAGATTGAGTTAAGCAGCTACAATATTTGCTGTTACAAACTTGTTGTTTGTAAATGTTCAGATTGAAATATTTTAAATCAACTGTTCAAAAATGTAGAC